AAAAAAAAAAAACAATCTCAACTCTAATCTAACATAACTTTAAATCAACATCACTATTATCAATATAATTAAACAATATCACTCAATCATCCTTAGACATCAAATCAACTTTAATTAGTTATATATTTATCAATTCATATGATTATAATTATTCATCACTTCTCTCATACTTTTATATCAAATCACCAATTAAAATTCAATAAATCTATAAACAAGAAAGCCTTTCATAAGTGGTTTTACTTTTTTAAGCACTGAATATGTATTCCAAATTGTAGATAATATATAGAACAAACTTATATAAGGGTGAAAAGGCATGCGTATTAGTATCGAATTTGCCGTTAGTTTTCTTCGTTTCACAACAACTATTTCAGCCTTTTTTTTTTCTTTTAATTTTAAATAGTTATTTTACATTATTAGCTTATATCACAAAACACTAGGCATATGACAAAGAGGTTTTAATTGCAAAATATAACTAGTATTTTGTACCTGATGGCAATATTAGTCACTATCTTTACGAATTGGCAATAGTAGCCAACAACTTTCAAAATTTTGGGGTTACTGCCCATGTCCGACCAAATTCGATGTCTATTGTTGCCACTGTGTAAAAAGATACTGACTATATTTTGCGATTTATCTGTCGAACTTGGTTGGATTTCGATAATAATCTCGAAATTTCGAAAGTTGTTGGCTAATATTGCCAATTCGTAAAGATTGTGGCTGTTCTTGCCACCGCGTACAAGATACTGGCTATATTTTTCAATTTAGCCTTACAAAGAGATACATGCATAGATCTCCTATTATTATATATTCTTGGTTAATTTGTTAAAATGTTACACGCAATATATATAATATAGCATTCAATTTAGTCTTGCATAATGTTGTTTAAACAAGTAAAATTATTAATTACTCTCTTTAAGATGCAAATTAATCTTGCATATTGTATACGTGTGAATGCAGTTTTCAATTACGATAAGAGCTGGGACAGTGTATACATGGTGAGCGAAAACGATTACTATAACTGCAACTATGAAAATAATGACAAAAAGTGGAATAGTGGAAATGATCACATATTGCTCGGCAAGACGGGGATGCATTACTTTATAAGCGGCTATAAAGGTCACTGTGCAAATAACATGAAAATTGCCGTCAACGTCCATCGAAGTTATTAGCCAGTTAATTGTGTGGGTGGGTGTGTGCTTTTGGACGGTCACTTACAATAATGATACATGATGTACTGTGAGACAAGGACAATGTAATAATAATACACACCAATAATAAAATCAGAATAAAAGCAAACTTTCTCCATTTTTTTTTTTCGAAATAATTAGCTCTACTTCAATAATTGTGTTATACCACAAATACTTGAACCGCTGGACCGCTCCTCTCGAACCGGGTTGCGTCTCCTTGATAGTCGGTACCTGCAAAGAACGCCGGGGGTGGTCCCGGCGCGAACACTCCGACGCTCAAGTCAGTGATGGTCTAGAGAGAAAACGACAGAGTAACGAGATAACTTGTGTATGTGTGTTCTGTAAAATGAATGAACCTGCTCCCTTTTATAGGAAAAATTTGGAGAGTCCCAGTGGGATAAGAAGTATTCTTCATATAAAACACTTAATTAGTATAAGTTCTTCTGAATCCCGAGAGTCCTTGTTGCTATTAACTCCTTCGTAACTTGATCACAAAGCCACCTTCAGGTTCTAACCTCCTCGACGCGCACGAGGGCCGCCGAGCACCCGAGGGCCGCCGGACACCTCTCACGGCTGAGCACCCATCAAGCACCTCCCAAGGTCGAGCACCCGTCGAGCATCATCCAAGTTCGAGCACCTCGTGCTGAACACGCGACACCGAGAGCCTTGCGCCGGGCACCCCCACCGAGAAACTAGCGCCGGGCACTCTACATGCCGGGCACCACCTACGCCGGGCACTCCTCTCGCTGGACACTTATCCCATGCCGAGCATTCGCCACTCGCCGGGCACTCACCCAACCACCCGACTACCACAATGCCTAGCCGGTCCTCTTCATAAGGCAGTGATGACCGGATCACAAACGGTTCCTCATGAGCCGCTACTAACGACCATATCAAATTGTTTTCTAAATTCTCACAGTTGCTACAGCTTGCTGTTTAGAAATAAAATTAGATCTTTCGATATAAAAAAAGCTACTACAAATCGGGATAAAATATATTCATTAATATTTATAAATAAAAATTTGTCATTGATATGTAATAAAATTTGGCTATATTAATTTATTGAAAATGTTGTATGAAATTTAAATTCGACAGAATTACATAAAACATGTCTATTTTAAATTGATATACAACCAGTGCACGTAAATGGTAATAAATGACATTAACACGCACTTCAAATAAGTGTCATTTTATAATTTTTATTTAGAAATTTGTTCTGACTAAAATGTGATTCTATAAAATAAATATTTTGGCGAACTTTTATCAAATATTTTAAAATATATGTGAATAATAAGTATAATTATAAATCTTATATTGTTTCTTTAATTAAAATGAAATTAGTTTTGTATAAACTATCCTAATCCAAAAATTTAAGTACTTGAGTAATTGATTAAACTATATAACAACTAACTATTTCATTTACGTCCAAGTTAAGATTGACTCGTAGCTATTAACCGAGAAGAACGGGAAATTAGGTAGCCGAAACAGCTCCCCACACATTACATCAATCTATACTAATATAAAAAGGTTGTTGGAAAGATACATAAATAGTAACTTTGACTTTTTAATTAAATGTTTGACTTACTGTTATAAGAATGTTTTTAAAAACACATGAAATTAGGAAAAAAAAAGGAGCAAATCAATTCCATATATTGTTTTTTAGGAAAACAAAATGGGTGCATATTTTAAAAATGGATGTTACCTTATAAAACATTTGACCTTTATTTTGCATGGCAATATATTATTCCAATATTCACCATAAGTTAATGCAAATATAAGAAAATGTCAATATACTTATCGACTACTTAATGAGAAATCTTAATTTATGAATATTAATAAATATCTTTGACTTTTTAATTAAATGTTTGACTTATTATTATAAGAACGTTTGTAAAAACACATGAAATTTAGAAAAAAAGAGCAAATCAATTTCATAAACTGCTTTTTTTTTTTTAAGAAAAAACGGTTGCATATTTCAAATATGGATGTTACCTTATAGAAATTTTGACCTTTATTTTACATGGCAATATATCATTCCAATATTCACCATAAGTTAATGCGAACATGAAAAAATATTATAGAATATACTTATCTATTACTTAATGAGAAATTTTAATTTGTTAATATTAATAAATATACTTTGACTTTTTAATTAAATGTTTGACTTATTGTTGTGACCATTTTTGTTGCGATTTTTGTTATTGTTTTATCATTCTTTTTTTCCCCGTTTTATGTCTTTTAGTTGATTTTTATTTCGTTTTATAGTTTATTCTGTGTTTTCCTTTATTTTGGTTTCCTTTGTGTTTTTCGTTTGTTTTTTCCCTTTTTCTTCTTGTTTTTCATCTGCAGGTCGGAGGCATTGTGAGGGAATGACATGGATCAGGCAATCATGGTTATGTAGATGGACTCATTGGCTACACAAAAGAAAAACGGAGTTTGATTTCAAGTTCAGATGAATCCGGACGGAACCAAAACGCGAAGCTGCGCAAGTTACCGACCCTTTAAAGGTTGAAAATTCCACATAATTTGTACTCTGAACAATAGTATGGTTTGCAAGCATCATTGAATAGAGGGGTTTGTTAGCGACGCGTAGGAAAAAACGGAACTAAATTCCGAGTTCGGATGAGCTCAAACAAGCCAAAAACGTAAACGCGTGCACTGCTGCCTGCGCGCGCCCGCCCGCTTGCTGCGCGCCCCTGCGCGCGCCATGCCGCGCTGATGAAGATCGT